ACATTGGCGACGGGCCTGTAATTGCCAATTTCGTCCGCCGCCAAACTAGGTTTCTTCCTGATGGGCCTAATGAGTTCAAACAAGTTGGGATTACCGTTCTGATGGTGCAGAAAACACAAAACAAACTGTTCACCTTGTAATGAAAGGATTCCTCACACTGTTTGCATTGATACATTCGGGTTTTGCAGTGGTTGATCATATGGCTTTCTAAATCCTTACTGTTGTCTGCTATGTGCTCACAGATGGGACACTGATAGGGCTGCCTCTGTCGATGCACCCGCAAGTGTTGTTTGATATAACCCTTGTTGCCACTGCTGTAGTGGCACAAGCGACACCGGAAGGGGCGATCCACATTGGGGATGTATTCCACAAGGTTGCTTCCCAGCACACTGGCATCTGTTGCAGGCTGACATTGGACATTGTCCTGCAGCTCCTTCAGAATGTCATCATCAGAAGCGTTCTGGTCTGTCCGCTCTTTCAGTTTTTCAATGACGGTAAGCAGAGACATACTAATGCCCATTTTCATGGGGCCTTCAGTTAACTCCGGTTTGTCCTTTTGTATTTCCACAAAAGCACAGTCGTTCTGGTTTAGGCTTGTCAGTTCCTCAGTCTTAAGTGTGGTCACCAGCTTGGAATGGGCTACATAGCCACTGTCAGCTTGCCTCTGCCCAGCATCTGGACTTAAAGAGTTTACTTCGGCAAAAGCTCGGAAGCTGGACCGAGCAAGCTCTGCAGCTCGGATAGGCATCGTAACAAGAGCTTCAGCAGCGAGGGAGTGCAGCCTTAAGGACTCAGAATTCGTTCTTCTTCTTGTGGGAGGGGCGTTTTCATCTGTTGCTTTAGCTCTGGCAGCATTAAATTCACTATCTTTCTTCTCTGTGGTGCTCCACCCGATGATCACTTCTTCCAATTCAACGGGATTTTTATCCATATGATAAACATCCCCAGATTCATCCCGTGTCACGCAAGTCTGCTCTGATATGAACTTTTTATCAGCCTCAGTGTCACTGTCCATCGAGTAAGGCTTCTGCAAGACAGATTCCTCAGCACTTGGTAAACGTTCCACTATAACGTTAACATGACCCTTTTTATTTGGGCTGCAGCTAATGATTTTCTGGGCTGATGAAAGCAGGCTGTCAGTTACTGAACTCTCTTGTTCCAGATCTGTATCAGACATTGTCTCCTCTAACAGTTTGCCTGAAGGTGAAGGTGTAGCTGATGGACTTAAGACGGCCTCGTCTTTTATAGGTTCTTTGGCAGGTGAAGTTTTATATGCTATTTGCTCTGGACTACAAATATGGAGTTGAACAGTCTGATCACCACAAAGACTCAGCTCGTTATTTTCCAGTGAAAGAACAACAGTATCTACGTTATGCGGGACTCTTGCTACTGCAGAATCTGGCAACGTAACTTCCTCGTCTTCTTCTTCAAATATTGGATATGAGCAATCAACTTCGCCTGCATGTTTCCAGGCGTGTGTTTTTAACATTCTTTGCTGACCACAGGTGTAACTACAAATTAAGCATCGGTACATCCCATACTGCTCATAGGTATACCATTTTCGCCTTCCCTTTTCAGTCACACAGGCAGACTGAACTTGTGCCCCCTGATCGGTGCCTACTTTGACAAAACTTTCCCCCGGCCCAAGAACAGTGGCATCTACAAAACTCACACACTGCTGCTCCTTGGACACAGTGTGGGGTTTGTCACCAGTTTCAGGGTGACATCTGACATGCGCTTCAAACTCTTCTAAACTTCGAGTGGCAAAACTACACACTGAACACATCAGTATTATCTCGTTCTGCTGTCCGTGTTGTTTTATGTGTTCTTTTAATAGGGTAAGTGTGGGAGAAAGAGATTTACAGATATTACACTGATAGCAAACTGCCTTCCTCTTATTTGGGGGAGGAGTGTCTGCCACATAGTAATCGTCAATGTTTATTGTGCCCAGAGCAGGCAGCTCCATAGTCTTAGCTGGGGTCTCTGGGAGGGTTTGTGACTCAAGTGACAGCGGAGAGACATTGGGGTACAACCGTTTTTTCCCTATTAGAAGACATTTCTGTGACTTTTCGCTCTGAACAATCTTGCTCAGTTTTTGGATGACTTGGATTAATGGATCAGGATTACATTTCTTCTGATTTTCACCACTCTCTAAACTTTGGTTTATGACTGCTTCTGAGATCAGCACAGCTTCCTGTTCCCCAAAGTTTGAGATGAGTGCCGTAATATTGCTGTCTGCTTCCATAACACCTGTAAATTCAAGAAATAATAGATACATCTAAGCGTTTATGTTACACAACAAAACATGAAACTCATAAAATACACAAAAATCACAACCAAAGAATTATGACTGAGTCCTTAGGAAGCCCCTCTTTAATTTCACAATGAATATGAAAAGATTGCCTTCTAAATGGTAAGTGCTGCATCTTCAGCTGTGAAAAAGAGACACATGCTCTGCACTCACACTTCAAATGTCCTTTGTAACAACAGATTAACAAAATGCTTCTGTGCTGTCAAAAGGTGGCCCTCCTTGCGAAGGGGGGGGGTCTAGTGAGTTTGTTCAGAATCAAAAGAACCTTAAATTAGCCCTTTTTCTTGCCAACCTTATAATTTGTCTTAGTAACGTTTGTGGTCCATCATTAGAAGCAAAACAAGACCTTATCCCAATGTCAACACCCTACTGGCTGAAATCGTGTTGGTGCACATTTTCACTGCATAAGCCAGTGAGATGTTAATGACAATTAACATATTAATTGCTTATATGTTGCATGAAATGTTAATGACAATTAACATATTAATTGTTTATATGTTGTCTTTCATGTTTTTACTGTAAGCTGCCCAGATAGAGGTAGTCTAGATGGGTGGGATACAAATCGAATAAATAAATAAACAAATAAATCTGGTGAGAGATATCTTTAATTTCCTAAAAAGCTCCTATCCCCTCCCTTTCAGGTTCTAAGGCTCCCTTGGGATCCCTTTTGCCATGAGGGAGCCTAAGGACAGAGAGGGGACTTTTAATGTTGGAAAATTGCCAGTGACGGCCCTGCCACCAGATCAGGAGAGCTGCTGGTGATCCAGTGGCAATTTTCCAATAGGAAAGGCTCCTCCCTATCCTGAGATTCCTCAAGGTTTCTCAAGGGCAAAAAGGATCCCTTGGAACCTGAAAGGGAGGGGATAGGAGGTTTTAACTTAATTAAAAATATCCATCACTGGATGATGATGCTATCCAGCTTGCACAGAGTACATGTACACCAACAGGATTTCAACCACTGTTTCTTTGATCTGAATGTGTATTTGCTGATCTCTTGTAAGTACACTGGGAGCAACCCTCCCAGCAGCCTACTGAAAAAAATGAGACAGACCTGTTCTTAAGCATCTGTATACTTGATCAAAGGTTTGATTAAATATTTCTGAAGAAAGTGTGCACTGCGCAGATGGTGGTTTAGACAACCAGTACAAACAATATCATCTACTGACTCTGTAAACACACCAGAATGAAATAGGGCACGTCAATATGAACTCCTTTCAGATAGTTTCCCCACCCCCACCCACCAACCAAGATCCAACCGCATAGTATGGTATCGAGTGACACCAGAGTTAGAGGATTTCTCCTTCCATTCCTCCCTCTGTGGCACCAGGAAACAGCCATACCTCAAAGCAGAGGACAATCTCCAGTTGAACAATCTGGGAAGATATTGCCAGTGGTGGGGCAACCACCCTATAGAGGGAGGCAGCTTTTTGGCAGCACAGAAGCACCTTGTTGGAGGGATAAATCCCATTTTAGTCCCAACTAGAGTATAACCATTGAAATGAAGGCAACTTGTCAACTCTTAGACAAGTCCCACTCTAAGTGGAACTAAAACTGACTTAAGGTTAGAATAGGAAAAAAGTATGACACTGCATATGGTGATTTCCTGTGTTACAGGTCCTGTACATAATTGTATTCAGTACCATACCTAAAATCAAAGGTCAAACACCAGTAATAACTGCCACAATCACCTAAAAGGACTATCTTACAAACAGGTGCAATAATAGCATCACATTAAAGAATGCATCTTTCAGATGATTGATTGTATCTTTTATTTTGAATACTGTCATGTCTAAGACTAGGTAAGCATGTTCTGTTTTCACTTCCCCCACTGCCAGTTGTGATACCATGCTTTCAAAAGGAATTTTTATCAGCACTATTTCACTTTTCATAAAAGGAATGGACTTTCTGTTTAATCTAGATAAGCATACAATTGACACTGCAGCCAAAAGTGTCTAGACTGATAAGAATTTTCCAGCTTGTTATGACCTCCAGTGTCAAGAAAAGCATTAACTATGTTCCTTTTGCAACACCTTTGAATACAGAGTACCATACGTAGAATTTCCATCATTCCTTCACTGACATTTTACAACTAGACTGGAACACTAAACAGAAATCCAGTTTGCTCACATTATGCCTGTGGCAATTCAAACTTGATCAAGAGCGGACTAATTTTTACTGTTGAGATGGATATAATAGAACTGTGGTGATTTAATTTCCCAGGAGTAAGGAGTGAATCAGAAACCAGGTATACAACAGAATAACACTAATGTGGGGAAATAACCAGACCCAAAGCTGGAAAATTAAAGAAACAGACAGCAAATAAAATTATCTTCTTGGATTTCCAGCTCTAACAGTTCTGAACGATGATACATGTAAAGCAGCACATCTTATTCAACCTTTTGGGATCCAGGACCATTTTAACTCCTGTATGAAAGTGGGAGATACTCTTCTGAAAAACAATTTGTTACATTTATATCCCTCCTTTCTCAAGTCAGCCCAAGGTGGTGTGCATGCCTCTGTCTGTAAGTACATGCCTCTCCTCACTCTCAGCTCTTCTGTAAGATCAACCAGATTTTATAGGGAAGTGTCCTCTAAATCCTCGTTCAACTGTCTACCTATTAATCCATGCTGGCCCCAAGGTAGTGCACATGGGCTGACCCACCACATCAGAGTGCAACAGCTCAGTAGGTTCTAATAAACAGGACAGTCTTGATTAAAAAGTAGAAGACCAACTCAAAGAAAGAAGCAGGAGAGCTCATTGGGATGGTCAGAGGACTATTTTCACAGAAGGAGGTTTCATATTAGCCTTGAAGTCCACTGGGAGCTGTGTTTGCATTGCTTCTCTTTCAACTTGCTTCAAGAAGCCAGTAAGAAATGGATAGAATTTATTATGATAAAGTACTAGACAAATGTTAACTGATAGCTGGCAATAGAAGCTTAAAAGAATGAGAACTGGGAAAGCCACATAGGGAGCATTGCAACACATAGATCTATGGAGCTCACAGGTTAGAACAGGGCTGAGGAACCTGCAGTTGTCCGGATGTTGTTGGCATCCAATGTCAATCTCCAGTATCGCTGGAGAACAGCATAGAACGAGAATGTATGTATGCATAAGAAATTAATTAAAAACAAGGTGAAAATCAGGAAAAGGGAGGCAAAAGCAAATCCAGGCTTCAGTGTGTGTAAGGTTTTACCATTTAACAGGCAAGACAGGTTTGTGCCCTGCATTCTGAAAAAGTATACACTTATTCTACAGGAAACATTAGAATATCCACTTCCATTTTTCATAAGGAAAGCTGTTAAGACTTAATTTCTTAGCTACTCACAGAAAAACATATACATTCGCAGAATGCACAGCACAAATCTATCTTGCTTGTTATGTGCTGAAACCCTATGATGAGATACATGAATTAACAACTGGAGAGCAAAAGAAGCACAGCCCCAGTGGGGCTGATACAAAACAAATCCATAATCCTCTTCATGCAAAGTGATAAGGTGCTTTTTCCACACAACCCTGTTAAGGAGGCAAATTCTTCAAAGATAGCTCTATCTGCTAAATCAGAGAGGGGGGAAAATTAACAGATTATATTTGTTTATTTATTTATTAGATTTATATACCACCCATCTAGAACGTGTCTACAGATACGGTATGACAAGCTTTCATATACTAAGTGCTTGAAGCATTAGCTGGCAGTTCTCATTTTATATACAAGGGCACGGGGAGGGGGTTTAAAGTGAAGTAAAAGGCTAGGGAAGATTACAACCATCGCATCTCTCTCAGATTTGCAGTTCTGGAGGCACACTGCCCATCGCTTTCACCTCTCTTCTATGTATTGTATACATAAACAAATTATACATGCACGCCCACACACAGTATATATGTAGCAAATATGCGACATAAAACACCTATCGATAAACGCACACACCAAAAAAAAGGTGACATTTGGTGCATCTTATAGAAGAGGGCGCTGATGCACGCAAGCTGCCGTCGGAGGGAACCCGTTACTCGGGTTTTCCTTCCTTCTCACCCCATTTCTTTTAGTTGCTCTCATGGGAAGGCCGGGAGCGCTGCGAGGGCTTGCAAAGGGAGCCCCGGACCCAGAAGATGCTTTCCTCCCGCTCCCGCAAGAACCTTGGAAAGCGCCTTCCCTTCCGCCTCTTTCCTTTGCCGACGGCCGCCTCGCCCCCCGCTCTCCTTCACACGCCTCCTTGGCTTCCGAGGAGATGCCCGCCGCCCGCTCGCCCGCGGCGTTACCGTGACACCCACCTTCCCAAAAGAATGCAACGGGATTTTTTTTTCCCAGTCCCTTCTCTTGCTCTGCCTTCTTTCAGGAGCACCGCTTCAAAATGGCGACGATGGAAACCGAATCACGTGACCCGCGGAGCCTGATCAGGTGGCCAGAAGTGAAAGTTCCATGCCGCGGCTTTCTCCCTCCACCGCCTCCTTCCATTTGTTACCATGGCGACCGTAGCGGGACTCGCTGAGGCCTGGCGCCTGGCACGCGTGCCTCCCCGCTAACCAAACCGACGTGGTCAAACACGTGCCTTTTTCCTTCTCCTGCTCCTCTAGATAGCTGTAGATCCTTATCGATAATATTTCGATAATATTTAGACACACAGGAAAACAAGGTGACACCCAGTACGGTGTAGGTAGGGGACAGAGTGACAAACCAGGATTTTTGGAGCCGTGGGTTCGAATCCTTAGTTCTAAATTGGGGGTGCAGAAGTGGTAAAACCATTCCTTAAATATCTCAACTTACCTTGAAAGCCCCACGAGGGTCGCTAAAAGTTGGTTCCGACTGGACTCACATAATATGCACAGGAAAAATAAATCTGGAGCATCTTAAAAACTGACCTATTTGTCCCTTTTCAAAATCAGGGTGCCTGGGTTGCACTCTTCATGCACAAAGGCGCGTGTTAGTGCTTCCTGTCTGCCTAGATGTCACATGGTGGTGTTCCCCACTTTCCTGAAATGTACTAACCACTGCATGCTGTCCAGTTTCACTCCTCTACCTGCTAATTGGCACTGGCTCACCAAGGTTCACAGGGGCATGGTGAGGAGTGATTTCTGCGGCTTTAGCATGCAAACAGGTTTTTCCTGAGTTATGATCCCTTCTTTAATGTATGCTCCTGTGCAAAACTCTTAAAACTGGTAGTCAGAGGTGTTTTTTTTTTTTAAAAAAGTTATTTTCAAGCAAAAAGAAAAAAGTATACAAAATGTTATCAATAAATCAACTTAAAAATAAACAAAACCAGAGTTATCAACCCTGTGCAACTCCCCACCCTTGGGACTAAATTTCATTTCATTTTTCTTTATAATTCATACCACACCATTTCTCTCCAAAAATGCACTGATTCTTCTCCAGGTTTGTATAATTTCCCTTTCAAAAACACATATAACAAAAATGAATTCCCTTTTTCTTTAAAATATTACATTTCAACCTTCCTTTTCTAATCTTGATTTCCCAGGTTAATTTATCATTAATGGCTATATTCCACATTTCTTCATACCATTAAGTCTGGTAGTCAGAAGTAAACTTGATTTAAGTCCAGTGGGCTTATATTTCTAGATAGGTGTGCAAAGCAGTGACAAATTTGGGTTCTCAGATCTCATTGTATTTTCACACCTTCTGCAAGGCTATCTATAATTAGAGCTTAGAATAGTGGTTCTTTACCTTTGGCCTGCCCAATCTTTTGGATTTCAGCTCTCATAAGATATAGCTAGAATAGTTAGTAGCAGAGATTCTGGGAGTTGAAGTCTAAAACATCTGGAGAGCCAAATGATGAGACAACTAACTTCAGAGTTACAAATAATATTATTATATGCAATAAAGGACACAAGTAATATTCAAACAGGTAGCCATTTTGGTCTATGTTGGAAGGTTGTTACGAACAAGCAGGATTTTCTAGCTACTTTTTAAAAGCATGTTAAAACCTTTCAAAACACATTTTGAGCACAAATGTTAATGTTAATTGCCCTCTTTTATCATTCTTCAACACCCTTCCACATAACAGGAAGGAAGCAATGAGAAATTCAGAGGAAGTACTTTTTCTTGGAACAGTAACTAGTTACTGGGTGGATTTTCATAAGGAGTTACAAAATGAATTACTTGTAGTAACTGACTAAACTCTGGTTTAAGGCCACAATGATTGACACGGCAGGTGCTTAGTCTCTGTAGGTGGTTAAGCCCAATCTTCCTGAAGCATTACACAAAGAAGTAGGATGTTCTAATTACACAGAGCAGTGGTCCCCAACACTTTTGACACCAGGGACCAATTTAGTTGAAGACCATTGTCCCAAGGGGTGGGGGGTACTTGTTATGCAGTAGGTTGTTGGAAGGTCCTTCCAAGGCCATGAACTGGTACTGCTCCATGGCCTGGGGGTTGGGGACCCCTGACGTGGAGTGTCCCAGAGGGAGAGAGCAGGTGAGCACCTGGAACAGCATTGATCATCACTTGCTTTTCTGCATAGAGAAGGAAAGCCAGAAAGTTGTATGAAGATAATGGCAGCATGCAAACAGCTTTTTCTTCTTCTTTTACTTCCCTTTGTTTTCTTTCTGTGTACATCTGGGGTTGGACCAAGAAACACTCCTAACCTCTCCTATTTACCCCAACTGGGCAGAGTGACTTAGATCCATGGAAGTGTCTATTAAAGAGAGAATAAGCAGATATATCAGTCTTCTCACTCACCTTCTCTGGGCAATTCAGACTATTGAGTTAGTCATAGAAGGAACGCCCACCTTGTCCTCTGAGCAGCTCAGCTAAATTCTCCCTCTGGATAGTGCAGTGTAGAATCAAGTACTGTAGTTCCCTACCCAGTTAGAGGACATGAGTGAGAAGGGCAGCAACAAGCAGCTACTTCTGGCATCTTAACCTTTATTTTTCTTAGCAGCAAACATTGAGCAAGCAGGGCCATCCCTATCAAGAATCAGAGATGAGAACACATTTCGCCAGGGTCAGCAGATAGTGTAATTCAAGCCAAAGCTGATGGTTCAAGCCATTATTCAATCTACCATTATTGTTTACTCTAATAGCAGCTCTACAACATCTTCAGTGATTTCCCCATCACCGGATACTTTTAACTGGGGATACCACGGATTGTGATTTTCTGCATGTCCTCTACATCTGACAATCTATTCCCTCTTAGTAAAGTAATTAAGTAAACCCTTCCTCTTCCTCTTAACAGAAATCTATTCCGCCTTCATATCTGTCTTGGAATCAGCTTAAAGTGTTGTGGATGGTTATTCTCATCAGTTTCATCTCACAACATTGGGTTTGACTGGTTTTTAACTTTTTTTAAAGGACCATCATTGTGTCCCAAAGCTGATAGATAGGCTTTCAAATTCTCCAGAACTCTTAATGGTACCCAAAACTCTAGATGGTACCAAGAAAAGGGGTGTGTGTGTGAAGAAGAGAAAATCCAAAAAATAAAAATTACTCCCAAAATGGGGATGGGTCAGTGAGAGAAAGTGACCTGAAGTCACCTAGACAGTTTCATGGCGCAGTGGAAGCTAAAATCCAGCTCTCTCAAGTCGTACCACAGCACGTTCATCATTGCACCACACTACATTCTAATTATAGGAGGTTTCCTAGGACACACCTTACAGGTCCATGCAGCTTCCCATAATACTGCTATCTCAGTCTGAACATTGCGTTTCAGCACACTATTGCAAGGTTGAGCAAAATATGCCTAAGCACAGATTGTTGAACTTATGCTCCCACCCGCTCTGGGTGCACAGTCAGTGTTGAGCAATGCTGGGAGACAAAGTCCAACCACATCTGGGGATCCTACATGTTGCTCATCATTCCATTACTACCACAAAATAGGATGTTGCATATACTAGGGTCATTTGGATGACATGCAAGAGTTGCAAATAGAAAGAAGCAAAACTGGGGCAGATTTTTTTTAAGGGTAATTTCCTTCCTTCAAAAAGGGATCTTGAATTTGTAAATTTTAAAAGAGTAGATTGATATGAACACTTCCCTAGCAGAAGACCAAGTGCAGTGCTTGGTGATGAACAGTGAATGTCCGACCCCGTTTAAGTCAGTTGGAGCCCCACTTTTGACCTTGATGAAGCCACACTCCCTTCTGCACTATCTACTTATTCTTTGTGAACTAGGTTCAAGTATTTTTCAGTCATCAAGATGAATGGGATGCCTTAATGTTATTAATGAGTTTAAGTAGCGGTGAGTTCCTCAAGAAACATAGGATTAAAGGATGTAATATATTTTATGTATGGTGTAGGGTAATAAATTTTCCCAGTCCATGCATTTTCTGCACTTGAGAACATGAGTGTACCGGAACCCCTTCAGATACTTTATAACAGGCACTCCATTATAAATGTAACACCTAATTGGGGTCCTAACAATCGTAAATTTGAAGCACAATGTATTATATGATGCGACGATGTTCAGCCTATTTCAGAATCAGTGCTCACTACAGAAAGGCTATGAACATTGGGACTATCAATGGAAGCTGGATGTCATAGACCCAGTGACATTGGAAATGAATCGACAAAATGCCTTCTTTGTCTTTGCACTGGATGAAGGTCTCGACAAAGGTTTGCTGAGAACTGGACCTTAACTATAGCCATGGTTTCACCATGGTACAATCCATAATTGGTATTTAAGGTTTACATCTCTGATAATGACCCAGATCTATGGCCGGCCGTATCATTAGGCAGAGTGAGGCAGCCACTGAAGGCAGCAGATTTGGGATGGCTTTAAGGGGTAACAAATGGTGGATAGTTTAATATGTTATTATAGCAATTTTACAGTATTGATACATTCATATTCAGTCATACATAACTAAATATTAACCCTTCTGACTATGTTACCCATGATGTCATAATCTTTTACTGGTATGGGGGCATCTGTAAGTGTACATATTCCAGATAGTCAAACTATTTATGGAATTCAGCACCCAGCTTCATCAAAACTACCATCTACTAGAAGACAACACCAACTTGCACACCCATCCACTGCACAAAGGACAAAGGCAATGAGGGGAAGCAACTGAGAGGAAGAGGTTATTTCTTCCAGAGGCAGTGGCCTCCTATATTGAATGTCATCAGAGAAGGCATTGTTTTCTGGTCACTTGAAAGGCAGATCATATGGAATCAGGGTGCAGCCTGTGCTGGATGAGGTGAAACACAGGTGCTCCTAGACTTATCTCTGACTCCAGATGTCCCGGTTTCAGCAGTGGCCAGAAGTGCCTTTGCACAATTACAACTATATACCATCTGCAACCGTTCCTGGAGAGGTCTGAACTGGCCACAATAACACGTGCCTTAGTTACATCCTAGCTGGATTACAATAATCTACTGCATGTGGGGCTGCCTATGGAAAGTGTCAGGA